CCTGCCACAACGCCTGGCCATTTTTTGGTTGCAGCCATCATTGTTGTTTGGTGGGTCCGGGCTGGGGATTCGAACCCGCCACCTCAGGTGTATGTGGCTGGTGCCTTAGCCGATTGAGCCACAGGCGCCGAGCCAGAAAAATTCAATCTTAAAGTTTTAGATCATAAATAACTATGATAATAATAAAGTGCAAGAAACCTTGAGGAGTATCTTATTAAGCATCCGTTTCCCACAAGAAGAAACTAGACCCTGGGTGGGCTAAGTCCATTGCCCAGGGTTACCCAGGCATTATATTATATATACCAAAAGTTATGGATGTTAACTGAAAAAAACAAAACCAAGAAAAACAACAAAACCCATGAGACAAACATCAAAGGAGCCAAGAAATAAAACTGTCTGCTCAGTAAAGCATTCTCCAAGTTCTTGGGCTAAATTTACTCTAACATACAAAACAAAAAACAAGCTGGGTGTGGTGGTGCTCACCTGTAGCCCCACCCACGAGGGAGGCTGAGGCGCAAGGTTTGCTTAAGCCCCTTAAGCCTAGGAGTTTGAGTCTTGCCTGAGCAACACAGCAAGACCCAATCTCTATAAAAAAGTTTAATAAAAAGAGTCAATCAGAACTGTTTAAAGTAGAGGAACAGAGAGAGAAAAAGGAAGTTGAAAGACTAGAGTGTAACCTGTGCCTAAGTTAGAAAATGTTTTTAGACAATGACATCCCTCATCTAAAAGGAACGCCTTTAACAATCCACCCCAGCAGTAATATGCACACCATTCACAGAATTGTAGTTACTGACCTTGTCTATTTATTTATTTATTTATTTAGAGACAGAGTTTCACTTTGTTGCCCCAGTAGAGTGCGATGGCATTATAGCTCACAGCAACCTCAAACTCTTGGGCTCAAACTCTTGCCCCAAACTCCCGAGTAGCTGGGACAACAGGCACCTGCCACAGCTATTTTTAGAGATGGGGTCTCACTCTGGTCAGGCTGGTCTCAGACTGGTGAGCTCAGGCAATCCACCTGCCTTGGCCTCCAAGAGTGCTAGGGTTACAGGTGTGAGCCACTGTGCCCAGCCCCATCATGAAATTTTTAATTATACAGAACAGATTTTACTTGTGAAGACCCCACGCCTGGCGTGACTTTGCCTATTTACTTCCTGTTGTAGACATTAGTAAGGTGAGCTGTGACAAAATCCTGGATTTTTTCTCTGTTCCGTGCTAGATTTCCATCTGGATTCTCTCCTAAGAGTCCTCTTCTCAGATGAATCCAGATAGGAATTCAACATGGAACAGAGAAAAAGTTCCCTACTTTTACGGCCCAGAAAGAAAGGAAACAGACGTTAGGCAAGTGGAAAGGTGATCTGGAGAATTGCAGAAAACATTTATGCACTTTCCTGTGTTGTAGAAATGAGCCAAACACAAGAAAGGCTACTAGCACCAGCCAAACTCTCAAATGTGGAGAACACCTCCCTCCTAGGTTCTGTATATGTGATCTCCTCCCCTCCTTGTTCGTTTACTTATGGAAATCAACCAAAGTGCTAAGTACTAACTCAGAGGCTGGGGCAAACTTTGCAGAGGGCTTGTGGGAGGAGAGTAGAAGCCAGTGGTGCTCCTTGCACAGATGTGGCTGAAGGGGCGTCCCACTCCCTGCAGGCTGACCCTCCCAGGTTAGGCTGGATGTAAATATTCGGAACTTGCCCCAGACCTGTAACAGCCAGGGTTCAGGGAGTCCCACCCAACCCAAGGGCAGTGTCTTGGTCAAAGATCAGAAAGCAGAGGGGTCAGAGAAAGACAATGGCTACACTTGTTTACATATTAACCTGGAATTTACCCTCCAGGCTCCAAGGGCTCTCAATCATGTCTTATTTGAAGGGCTCAAC